TATCATAAAGTCAATTGAAACAGAGTCTAACAAAAAGAAAGATGCCACGAAAAAACTTCCGGTGAAAGGAATGTCAATCAATCCATACAATTTTACAACGCATACCCTGATTGGTTGATAAGATAAAACCTTTATTAACCATCAACAAAAGATATATGGTATGACAAGGGCTAAACAACTCTGATTTTTTCTAGTCTTTTGTTTAAAAGTCGTATTAAAAAACTATATCAGGAAAGAGAACATATAAGGATATGCTTTTTTGTGAAAAAAAAAACTAAAGACTTTCTTTACACTATGTGCATGTTCAGAAAGGATTTTGGTTTAGCTTTTCATTATACATTGAGGGCGGAGTTTTTTCATTCTGAATAGATTTTTTGAAATTCATTCATACATTGAGCAAACTATTAGAATCAATCTATCGGACACCTTTTTGATTTTTTAAAATAATTTTTGTGATTTTGAAAGAACTCAAAAGATTTTAGCAACTTGAATGGTTTCCAGGCAAAAGTTTGTATAACTTACGATTTTAAAAGAATAAATTATGCAAAGACCAAACTTAGTAGTTTTGGTGTCCTTTTGAAGTTGTAAAAGTTCTATTCATCCTTTAATCCTTAAAAGTAAATACCGGCTTAGGACGTTTGCATGATGGCGTCATTTGACTCCCACTACCCAGATGCTTTGCGAATTTTCTTTCTCATTTAAATTTGTATTTCCTCATGAGAATAGTAAGACAATTGGTGCTAATTAACTGAACAAAAGAAAGCGTGCAAGGGAGTCTGGTAGTAGAGGTCAATGACGCCATCGTGCAAACGTCCTACGCCATCGTGCAAACGTCCTAAGGACGTTTGCACGATGGCGTCATTGACCTCTACTACCAGACTCCCTTGCACGCTTTCTTTTGTTCAGTTAATTAGCACCAATTGTCTTACTATTCTCATGAGGAAATACAAATTTAAATAAGAATGAAAATTCGCAAAGCATCTGGGTAGTGGGAGTCAAATGACGCCATCATGCAAACGTCCTATAAATCATTTTACCAGCAAGACCAGGAAAAACGAAGAMGACGACGAGCTCAGAAACAAAAGAAAAAAAGACACACCATGTCGAATCAAGGTACCAAAACTTAAGATGTGAATGCTTAAGGTGGAACCAAACTAATTCAGAGCGAATTTTGGACAATTTTATTCTCGCTGTCTTCGCAAAACTAGTGAGTCAATTTAAGGTGGCTGGACCCCCTCACGCTTGACCGCTACCTTCCACTTTTGGAACGCTGGTGCATAAACGTGTTTTATCCGATTGCAAATCTTTTTTGCACATAAGTCACATAAAGATTGAATTAATGTTTGATGCAGTTTTTA